ACCACACTAGCGCGATTATTTACCTAATAAAAAAAAAGATCTAAAAAGGAAGCTTTGATACAAACAATATTAAGGCTATGGCATACTGCCGGTCGGGCGTTTGAATATAATGTGTTACGACTTCGTTATTTTTCAACCGACTTTTTTATTGCATCAATGCATCAATTCTTGATTACTTTGCAAACCCTTTTTATGAAAGGATTTTCTATTATTACGTCAAGTTTTTCTTCAGTCCGTTCACATGACTTCAGATTTCCTTAATAAAGAGGTAAAAAAGATTCTATGAAGATGAAAAAATTCAATAGTAAAAAAGTTTTGATTGATGTTGTCTTGCTTGAGCACGCAGATGGGGCACCTGCTAATTGCTTGTAATGTTGTAATTTTTACTTTTATTTTATTTTATAATTATCGCTGATTTTGTATTTATTATTGTAGACAAATGGTTTGGATGTCGTATTAATTAATTTATATTTATATTTACCTTAAGCTACATCTATTAAAAAACATTAAAAAAAAGAAAAAGATTTTAGTTGTTAGATTTTATGTAGTAAGATAGGTTGTAATATTGGAGTAAGTCATGCCATCAATTTATATTTGTAGGGCTAAAATATTAACATCTGTTTCTATATATGTACATATTTTCAGTGATTTCCAGTGAGTTTTGATGCCTGGTAAATTCTAGTTATATGTAGTTGTTTTGTGTGGTTTTGAATTGATTTGTAATTGCAATGGTGAAAGTATTATTTTGTAAATTATTTGTTAATATACCAAGGTAGATGTGTCCCTAAAATTCAAACTTTTGTTACAAGCTTTTCTAATTACAGTAGAAAAATTAATTTAAAAAAAATTTCTTCCAATATTAGCATTAAAAATTTTTTTTTAACTTTACATGCAACTCATCTGATGAAGACTACGTATTCATTTTTAAGAAATTTTGTATTAACACTATCGGGATTCGAACCCGGATCTCAGTGGCAATGATCAGGTGCACTAACCACTAGGCCACTGAGACTACCGAACGAAGTTCGACAATTGTTTTATTTAGCTTACATGTGCAACGAAAAAAAAGTGCTACAAAACAGCGTATGTTTTTCTATGCCTACTATATACATTTGAAGTTCTCTTAAACTTTGAAAATTTATTCCGAAGACTAACCGATGAAATATGTCTGACCATTTTGGTATTAAATACATTTTATAAAATTTTTCTGCATAACATTTTCTTTAAGCAAATGTTTAGGTAAAATATATATGAAATGCATTAATTTTTGTGGGATACATGAACATTTTTGTAAGATTTATGTTAGTGGTATGCAGTCAATCAATCCAATGCATTTGGATAAAATAAAAGTAATGCATTCAGATTGGCACCAATTTAGAATGTTTTAAATTGAAATACTGAAAATACTGAAAGAAAAGATGATTGGAACAGCATTCAATAATATTCAGGACAGCGAATCGTAACCGAGCCGAAAACCGAAAATCAAAAACCGAAAAAAACCGATATTTATGCTGAAACGAAAACCGGAACCGAACGGAAAAAAAATATCGGTTTCTTTCCGTTTAACACCATATAGTTCGATATCTGGTCATATGTTTTTTCAGTTGTTGATTTTCTATTTATTAATTTTTTTGAAAAATACTTTAAATTGACTAAAACTTGTTGTCATAAATGGGTGGACTTGAAACTACAGATTACTACAGATAATGGAGCGTAATTATCTGTACCTAATATATTTCTTTCGTAAATACATTAGGAATGGAAATAGAAGAATATTTTCTTATTGAAGCTGAATGTGATTCTAATGATCACTTAGATGACAGCATGATTTTCGGAAATAACTTTGCTTTTAATGTTGACACGGAACCGAACCGAAATCCGAAAAAAAACCGATATTTTTGACGGAACGAAAACCGGAACCGAACCGATATTTTTTTTTCGCTGGAATCGAAACGAAAACCGGAACAGAAAAAATTTCGGTTCGATGCCTTGATAATACGTTTGTTCCTTAGTTCATTTCATATGAAAATATTAATACACAAAATTTTTTATAAAACAAAATTATTTTAAAGAAAGAAAGAAATTAACCACGATGAGCCCTCAACCTGAGATATATTAAATTATGTACTTAAGCGTTATGAGGTTCTTTAATAATTTATATAAATTCAATAAATAATTAAGCTTAGTTTAAAAAGCTAAAATTCTTTAGATCCGAGTAATCTTTATTTCATTTTCTGTCGTTTTGTTAAGAGAAGTGATACTAACATCACAACTAATATCAATAATTGGTATTTAACTTCCCTTATATAGACTAACAGTTTGAGAGAACAAATAAAAAATATACATAAACTCTCTCTTGGGAAGAAAAAGATAACGTTCTACATTTTCTCGTAGAGGAAAAATATAAAGGATGAAAATTCAAATTGAAATTAAACGACACGCACTGCCGATACTGGTCCAATGTACAACCGAATAGTTTTGGATAAGAGAGTACAAAGTTGCCAATATTCACTGTGTTATATTGAAAAAACTTCTCGAACTGTTGATTCCCCAAAAAGCGGTCCCTTTTACTTATCTATGCAAGATGTTCAACTATGATGATCTAACGAATAGTGAACTCCTGACGAATAGTATCGATGACGATCTCCGCAAGCGAGTATGATCACCAGCTGTATATTGCAATACAATTATAGCTCAATACTTGATCGTTTGTATAGAAACGATTTTTTCTAAAATCCAATTTGTCTGACATCATTTGTACATATTACTAGAAAATATTGCAGATAACTACATAATTATCAATATCCTTTCATATATTGCTATTATTCACGTCTGCATTCAGGTAAAACCTTTCGGCTCTGTTTGTGATTTTTCCCGTACTACTTGTTCCAATTATTTGCAAAATTCATCATTTTTTCGTTCACACAAACTGCATGTGATTATTGGAAATTTTCGGATTATACCATTTATAGACAATAGACACAATTGCATTTATATTAGTATGAAGAGTTTTCGAACAATAGTGAATTACAACAGCAAAATTTTAGTATTTTTAATAAATTGAATTTTTGACTGACCATACAGTTATTTCGAATATTGCCATCACACGCACATACACACACAGATACACACACAAACACCATCAGTTTGCCCGGGGAATTTTATTTTGAAGATGATTAAACCACCGGATTGGCGATTGAGCCATTGAACGACTTCGTGCCAGGGAACGCGTTACAAGAGAGGTCTCACCTTAAGAAATGGGACAGTTATATACTCAGACGACATAACTAACGATTTGAGGTAATGCTCAGGATGCCTTTCTGATGTAATACCTTAAGGTAGTTGCAGGCGGGAACTACTCCGTCCAGACATGGGGACATGTTTTTAGCGGATTAAAGTTGCGCACTGACTTAGGCTTTCGATGCTTTTGAGTCCTCGTTACAAAAAAAAAAAAACACACCATCAGTGACTAGCAGAAAGGGTCCCACAGGGTTCGGTACTCGGTCCAATATTGTGGAACATTATGTATGATGGAGTGGTGAGACTTGAGCTCCCAGAAGGCGCAGAAATCATTGGTTTTGCTGATGACATTGCCCTGGTGGTTAGAGGAAAACACATAGAAAAACTAGTAACAACATGTAACGATGCCGTGACTATGGTAAGAAACTGGATAACAGGCTAGAAACTGGATCTTAAGCTTGCTGACCATAAAACTGAAGTACCTCTAGTAAGCAGCAGGAAAAAGATTGAGTTCATTACAATAACTGTTGGTAATAAGCAAGTCACATCAAAACAAGCAATAAAATATATTGGAGTGATGATTGACAACAGAGTCACATTCAAAGAGCACCTATGATATGTTGGTACAAAAGGTGCGAAAACAACGTGTGCATTGTCGCAAATAATGTCTAATATAGGTGGACCTAGGCAACAGAAGAAGCAATTATTGACATATGTAATTAAATCCATTGCTATATATGCGGCTCCCATATGGGCAGATGCAATGAATAAAAAGACGTACAGACTAGGAGTAGATGCAGCCAACAGAAGGTGCGCACTCAGAGTTATTTCCGCTTTCCGTACAGTTTCCACGGACGCGGCCATGGTTATTGCCGGAATAATACCACTACAGCAGGAAGCAGCAATGGAAAAGGAAAAACATACAGCTAAAATAACCAGGCTCACAAACTACAACCAAATCAATGAAGAAGCATTGAATAAATGGCAACAGAGTTGGGACACATCCACGAAATGAAAATGGACACATACGCTCATACCGAAACTTAACGATCAATGACAAAGCATTGAATAAATGGCAACAGAGTTGGTACACATCCACGAAAGGAAAATCGACACATAAGCTCATACCGAAACTAAACGATTGAACCAAAAGAAAGCATGGCCAAGTGAACTACTACCTAACCGAGATGCTAACTGGAAACGGCTGCTTCTATTATTGCTTCTATTAATCGATTAACGTAATTTTCAGAAAGTCATGCTTATGTTACTCTATCTCTGTAGGAAATCTCGATCGGCGATCTAAAACTCTCAATGAATGTGACTATGCAAGTTACATTCAGGAATCAAAAGAGGTCTATATTAAATGAAATAAACTTTTTGTAGTAAACGGACGTAGTACAACACTGGTAGTAAACGTACGTTGTACAACACGGAAGAAGAGCAGCTGTCAGAGAAAAGGCGGCAAGATAGCGTTGGGTGTAAGATTAACAATTAGTGTGTGTTGTATTGTAATGAAATAATAAAGTGATACGAAATAATATAGAACTGTATTTATGTGTAACTAGCGAAGTTACTACATTGGCGACGAGGATAAAGCTAACATGAATGCGGAATAGTTTAATTTGTTGTTGCAAGCTGTGCAAAAATCAAATGACGCTTTGCTTGAGGAGCTTCGGTTGTCGCGGACACAACAACAAATTGATGCGCCTTCTTCAAATACAGAAGCAGTTTCGTCAACATTCAGGAATCTATCTGACTCAATGCTAGAGTTTTGCTATGATCCTGAAAATAATGTCACATTTGAATCATGGTACAAGCGTTATAAATCAGTTTTCACTATAGAAGCAGCACATCTCACTGAGCCGACTAAGGTTCGATTGCTCACTAGCAAATTAAAAAATTTGGATTTCGAGCAATATGCAAACTCAATCTTACCAAAGGAACCCCATGAGCTTACACACATGCAAACGGTTGCCAAACTCTCGTCTATTTTCGGATATCGCCAACCAAAATTTTCTCAGCGCCAAAAATGTCTTACAATTTCAAAACAGGATTACGAAGATTTTGCTCAGTACGCAGCTCGCGTCAACAAACATTGTGAAAAATTTGACATCGTTAATTGTACTCCCGATGAGTTTAAAGCACAAATCTTTGTTAATGGCTTGAAGAGTTCACACGATTCGTTAATACTTGAGAAATTCCTTGCAAGACTCGACAATGAATCAACACAGTTTGGTGCACTTCAGACACAGGCGCAAAAGGATGCTTTCATGCACTTAACACTTCAAGACCTCACTAATGAAGCTGAACGTATAATCTGTCTGAAGCAAGACAAATACACTGTCGTCCAGCCATCTTCAAGTTCAGAAGTTTTTACAATTCACCATCGATATCAACGCAAAAATGAATCATTACTATCAAATTCTTCAACAAAAGACGAAACTTCGAAACCACCAACGCCATGTTGGTGTTGTGGAGGTCTTCATTGGGTTAAAGATTGTCCATTTAAAGGCAAAGAATGTTCAACATGTAACACTATTGGCCACAAAAATGGTTACTGCAATATGAAGCCAATCAAGTTGCGGAAAAAAAATCTCAGCCTGACACATCATGTGTAAAGAAAATTGACGAAACTAACAGACCGCAGCAGCATCGTAGGTATGTCAGACCAAATCTCAATGGATCTACAATTAAACTCCAACTTGATACCTGGTCGGACATAACAATTATTTCCAAATCGAACTGGACCAAACTTGGCCAGCCAACCCTACAAACTACTAATAAAAAAGCTGGCGATGCTTCTGGAAATGTAATTCCTCTTCTTGGCAGCTTTGCTTGTGTTGTGAACCTAAATGGAAGAGAGGAATATGATGTGTGTTATGTCACACCACTTAAGTTGAACGTGTTTGGAATTGATTGGATAACGACATTTGACTTATGGTCAGTGCCTATCAGTTCCTTTTGCAAAGCAATCCAACTAACTAGTAGCGATAAGTTAAACGATAAAATAAAGGCTAGATTTCCGTCTCTCTTTTCTAAAGACCTTGGCTGCAGTACGAAGACCCAAGCGACTCTGAGGCTAAAAGAAGGAGCGCGACCCGTTTATCGTAACGCTCGACCAGTTCCATATACAGCAGCTCCCATAGTTTCGGCAGAACTTGAACGTCTTCAACATCTTGGAGTAATTTCACCAATTGAATACTCACAGTCAGCGGTGCCAATCGTAGTTGTAAGAAAGAAGAATGGAAAAATTCGTATATGTGCCGATTATTCTACAGGTCTAAATGACGGTCTAGAGCCAAATAAATATCCTCTTTCAACGCCTGACCAAATATTCTCCAAACTCGCTAATAAGAAAGTCTTTAGCACAATTGACCTATCAGATGCATTTTTCCAGATTCCAGTGGACCAAGAATCTCAAAAACTGATGGCTATCAATACTCACCTCGGCTTATTTAAAGTACTTAGACTGCAGCAAGGTGTTAAAACAGCCCCTGGCATTTTTCAACAGATTGTTGACACAATGCTTAGCGGAACCAATATCATTGGGTTTATTGATGATATGATCTGTTCGGGAATTAATGAAGAAGACCACAAAATTCAACTGTTTAAAACCTTAGAGCGTATTCAGGATTATGGATTCAAACTTCGCTTCGAGAAATGTAAGTTTGGAGAAACATCTGTCGAGTTCTGCGGACACACGGTAGATCAATATGGTATCAGACCACATCCAGGGAAACTTCGATCAATCCAAGATCTCCCACCACCAACAAATTTGCAACAAACACGAGCATTTTTAGGAGCTGTAAATTATTATGGGAAATTCATTAAAAGTATGAAAAGCCTTCGCGGTCCTTTAGATGAACTTTTAAAAAAAGATAAGAAGTTTGAGTGGAAACAACATCATAATGAAGCATTCAACAATATTAAAAATGTTTTAGCTTCTGATCTATGTCTCACGCACTTCGATCCAGCAAAGAAAATAATTTTAGCTACTGATGCATCAGAATACGGTATGGGTGCAGTTCTCATGCATCAATTTAATGACGGAACGCTTCACCCAATCATGCACTACTCATCTACATTCAATGCAGCGGAGCGGAAGTATCCTCAAATGCACAAGGAGGCTCGAGCTCTAGTGTTTGGATTAAAAAAATGTCACTATTACATTTCTGGTCGTCGCTTTACCATTCATATCGACCACAAGCCACTTCTTGCTATATTCAACCCGAAAAATGGCATCCCGTTGTTTACAGCGGCTCGCCTGCAACGTTATGCAACCACTATTCTGTCATACGACTTCTCTATTGAATACATAAATACTGACAGTTTTGAATATGCCGATATTATTTCTCGACTAATCGCAAACCATGTAAAACCTGATGAAGATACCGTCATAGCATCTATACAATTAGAAGAAGACAAGGACCTGAAAATCAATTGTTTTGCGGTAGAAACAGCCACCAAACTTCCAATCACTTTCACTAATATTCAAACAGCAACCAAAGCCTGCCATACTCTCAATAAGGTCACGTTCTACATTCAAAATGACTGCTGGCCTCAAAAGAGAAAACAAATCACAGATAATGAAGTAGCGGCATTTTTCCAGCATCGACATCATCTTACGATCCAACAACAGAGTATTTTCTTTGGTGAGAGAATTGTTATTCCCAAAATTTACTACCAGCAAGTCCTTGAAGATCTCCATAATGGACATCCAGGTGAGTGTCGTATGAAACTTCTTGCTGCTACCAAAGTTTTTTGGCCAAACATTAATCTTGATATCGAACATGTGGTCAGAACTTGTAACACATGCGCTACAGCCTCAAAAAGTTCAATGAAATGTACTCCTCAACAGTGGAAAATTCCTTCTGCACCATGGAAACGAATTCATATTGACTACGCTGGTCCAATCGATGGCAATTACTTCCTTGTTATCATAGACGCTTTCAGTAAATGGCCAGAAATATTCAAAACTTCAACTACTACTGCAGCTAAAACTATTGAGTTCACTGAGAAAGCTTTTGCGCAACACGGCCTTTGTGACACGATTGTTAGTGATAATGCTCCGCAATTCATCTCGCAGGAACTCAAAAATTTTTGCGACTTCCAAGGAATTAATCACATATCTACAGCTCCATACAATCCACAATCAAATGGCCAAGCAGAACAGTTCGTTGACCTACTCAAATCAGGACTTAAGAAGGCAAAGGGAAGTATCGACAGAAAGCTCAACGAATTCCTCACTTGTTATCGATACACACCATCCTACAATCTCGGTATCAAATCACCATCTGAGCTCCTAAATGGCAGAAAAATGAAAATTCGTCTTGACTGCATTAAACAGCAAAAACCGGAAGGCGAATTAGAAAAACAAAGTAATCAGCAAGAGACAAAATTAAAGCAGTTCAGCATTGGAGATAACGTTTACTATAAACTTCATTCCAATAACAATAAATGGACTTGGATACCTGCTGTAATCATAAAAAAACTTGGAGTAATCAATTATGAAGTCAAAATTGACCAGGAAAGTAATGATCGCGTTATTAAAGCACATGTAAACCAGCTGAAGTATCGTTATACAAAAAACGTACTAAATGAACTGTTTGAAGTTCCAGAATTCACGCATACAGTTGAACCATTCATTGTTCCAAATCGAACTTATGTACCGGAAGAGATTCTATCCCCTCCTATCGAGCAACAGACTAATTCCAATGATGATGTTAATAGCAATCAGGAAATATCGACGATAACACGTTACAAAGAGTTAAGACGATCTCAAAGGGCTACAAAGGGGCATGCGCCACGTTGGCATCAAGACTACCAACAATATTAAAAGGGGAGGACTGTAGTAAACGGACGTAGTACAACACTGGTAGTAAACGTACGTTGTACAACACGGAAGAAGAGCAGCTGTCAGAGAAAGGGCGGCAAGATAGCGTTGGGTGTAAGATTAACAATTACTGTGTGTTGTATTGTAATGAAATAATAAAGTGATACGAAATAATATAGAACTGTATTTATGTGTAACTAGCGAAGTTACTACACTTTGTATCGCAAATAATATTAATTCTTATTTTTAAAAAAGTCCAATTCACTTAGTATATAACTAATAATCAACTAATAAGTTTTAGTTTCGACGAAACTTGTTTAAGCGACAGGATTTCACATTGAGAAAAACAGTAATGATTCTTTACTCGAATACGGAACCCTCGACTACAATTTGTTGTAAATAGGGGTTTCGTCCTTTATAATAACTTGCAATTACTAATGGATCACCTATGTACAGTATATGTACTACATTATTATTGTAATTTGACTCAAATCTTCAAACCTTTTCTAACTTTATCGATTTCAGTGTCATATATATATATACATATACAAAGTGACTCTTGTCGACTCTGTTATGAGAAGAGGGAAACATCAGAACATGTTCAATGCAACTGCCCGGCGGTGGCAAGACATAGACTCGATTACCATGGAAGCGGGATCTTAGTCCCAAATCGAATAGGTAAAATTAAGTTCACAGCCATTGCAAGATTTACAAATAGTCTAAAATTGTCCTAGTTGGGTCTACAGGCGTACAATAGATGTTTTAGACCGGGGTGCTGTAATATACAATTACTTAAATAAATAAAGTAAATACACATATAGTGTCGTATATCATGCAGATTATTCAATTCTTGCAATGTGCAAATTCAAACTGTTTGGCTTTAATTAGAGTGCCTTCGGGTGTTTTTGGTGAAAATAAATACGTAATCGACATAGAAACTATTACGTTAGTTAATATTAATTAAACTAAATCAGTATTCAATTTAAAAATTGGAGAAAATCCAAAATCTATAGAATATACGGCAGATTTATAAAAGAAAGTGTGTGTATATAATAGATGATATTCAAGAAAGTTAAAGTTCGTCAAATTTTAATGTCTTATTAATCTTCTAAGCCTCATCCCCTATAAAAAGTAAAACTTCTTTTGTTTTGTCATTGACGTGACAGAAACTTAATACATACGATTTTATTTGTTACTCATTCAATAATTACAAAATACGCAGCCAGTCACATCATCCTATTCGTCCTTGTTCAGTTCGTCTAGTATAGTCCAAATCATCTGTGGAACACTGCATCTAAGGTTCGGTCAACCGTCCGTGCTCGCATTGTTTAGCAGCTGTACTGAATGCGAGTCCCTTAATTCCACTCCAAATTAGTTTAGGGAATAGAAAAACACAAGCAGCAGCACAAATAATCAGGTTCGTAGTTTGATCTCCTTGAAATATTGGTCTGCAACCTGCTCCAGTAGCACAGCCGTCTGCGCATGCCACTGAAGTCGCTGTTAGTGCTGCTTCTATTGACATTTTAAATTGTTTATTAGAATCAAACGTTTAAAAAAATAAATCTTATTATCTTCTAGGTTTTCTAGGATGTTAACTGTTATGAAAAATTTTTTATAATGTCAAATGACGTTTTCAAAATTTCAGGTATTTTCTCTCTACCTAGATTCAAATATTGAAATTGAAATTGAAATTGAATAAAATTGATGCAGACAACATATAAAAATCTGTTATTGAAACTCTGTTACCTGATCACGAATGGATAATGAATGACATACAGTAAAGGGTAAAGGGATAGCCTGACAGAGATTGATAATGTTAAAATTCAAAATCTCGACACGAGTATTCGCACTAACTCGCAACTATTATCAAAATTATCAAAATAATAATGAGAGGTTTCTGCAATTGTGTCTCAAATTTGTGTCAAATTTGTATAAAATTTTCAAGCAAATGGTGTATTCAAAGTCAGTCAAAGTCAATGATTATAATAATAATTTCGAGAAAAGGCTGAAATGAATTAGTCCACTTTTGTTATATGTTAGGTGATATTAATAAATATTAAAGAAATAGAAGTTAGAACGAGATGAGCTAACACATCGCCGATTTCAGCACGCAAAAGTTGACTGATGAATATAACAACCAGAATCAGAAACAAGAGGAGTTCTTCAGAAGCAAGAAAGCAAGTGATAAGACTTTATTGATCTTACGTAAGTGCTCCTGATTCACGGACCATTTGGTTAAGCATTTAGATACAAATGAGATAGATAAAATTATGAATATGTATTATGTATTATTCTGAAGAACTAACAGCTAGTTTCAATTACAGAAGAATTTCGTGGAGGACCTTTAAATCCGTCGTAAATTTATCTTAATAAGTCACTATAAATTTGGTTCATTTTCAGAAGTTCTTGATATTTGTTTTAAAATATTTTATGCGTTTGTTTGGAGTATCACATACTTTGCGAATCTCTTTAAACTTTTACTTTGCAGCAGTTCCGCAAAATTAGAAGTGGACAAATCTTGCCTTTGCAATTTTTGTATTATTATATTAAGCTATATATGGTTCAGTCTTTGTAGAAAAAAAGAGTCTGATTGAAGATTTCTCCTCTTTTCATAAAAATGCACATTTCTTATAAAAATAATCAAATTTGTGTTCTGTGACTTGTATGTTGGGAACGTACTACATATTTCTGCTATATAGTAGTAAGTTGTTTCATTCTAAAATTAACAAAAATTAATTTCGACAGCTGGGAAGAATTAAGTTATTAATTTGTTTCGGTCCCTGTGGTTCGAAGTGAGCGTAATCGCTTTAAAAACATATTCATATGAAATAGGTCATATGAATATTGGTATTCATATGAAATACAAAGAACAATAAAAAAATAATAGTCCTCTCACTATCATTCTTTAATATATGAAATATTTTTGGATTACGAGCAGAATAACTCTCATAATATATTTTTACGACTACAATACGATACTCCAATAATGAAATGAAAACATATTCTTCACACAACTCACTGAAAATGCTTTCAGATTTTTATAAATACGGAAACGGAATATATTTAAGTTGACTATCAGCGAGAAGAGTCCAACGATATTAATGAAGAAGTATCTGTATTTGCATACTTTTATAAATTGCAAGTCAACTGATCAATTTCAATCAATTTCACATAAAACTTATAAAAACGGTCATATGCTATTATTGAGCAGCTGCCAATCCTAATATAATCACTCTCACTCAGTAATTATCAAAGCTTAATTTTAAGTTTATCAAAAATTTTATTTTATAACATCGTTTATGGTGTGGATAAGCATTGCCAAGCATAAAAACATTTCTTACATCAAAATTTTGTAATATACTTTGACAAATAAATTCTGGATTTTCATCTGAATTTGATTTGAAATACACAAATAAAACATGTTTAGTCTTTTACTTTTTTTATTGTATATCTGTTAACAAATCTGTTAAAAAATCTTATGAAATTAAAATTTACTGGTTAACGGTTTTGCTATTCTAAGAAAACTAAATTTAAGCTGGCAACACTTATTGAAAAAACACGATAATAATTGATTTCAGCATCTTCTACTCTGTCACCCAAGATATTCGTAAAGTGTTATATATTTTATTATTGCTTTTATTTCTGTGGACAAAAAGAAAAAAACAGCAATAGAATACCGCGAATACGGCTATTATTAAAAAAATATATTCTATTGACTTAGTATGAATTTGGAATCTTCGTATTAGGAATGAAAAAATGGTGCAGTTTTGTAGCACTTTTTGTGTGATACTTGTAGAGAAGTAAAAGTTAGCCGATGATTGTTCGTTAACCTCAGTAGTCTAGTGGTTAGCAACTCTAACCACTGCCACTGGGGCCCAAGTTCAAATCCCGCTAAGGGCAAACGGTTAATATACAATTTCAAATTAATACAAGTTTAAATCACTAGTCATCGTAGCACGTACGGAAAAAAAATTTTTCTTAATTAAGTGAAAATTTTTTATATATTACATTATTACCTATAACAGATGTGTATATACTCACGCTTTGCTACAACATTTTATTTCAAAGTTGTGCTTTTATTTTATTTATATATATGTTGGGCAAGCCAAATAAGGAATACCACACAGCAAAAGAACGCTTAATAACTAAAGTATATAGAAATTACTATCTAGATGGATACTGGTTCTTTATTCTGTAATTCTTACCGATGCGAGAAATTCCTTTAATTAGGATTAAAATATGTCTCATTGAACTTGGAATTTTTGTTGTTTTTGGTGCATTGGGTGCGAAATACACCCTATATATCTTAAGTGTTCGTCCAAAACATTGTCCGCATTTTCATCTGATATATGACAGCTACCATCTCCAACTTCATTTGTGGTCGCTCAAAATGACTCCGTGGACCTTTTTACTATTTTTTGGAATAACTTTAAATTTATATATGTACCGCGTTTAATATTTATTTTATACAGAAATAAAATGAAATTTCAGATTAAGATATGTTTCGTTTGAAAAATGTTACTTTGTAAATAGTATCAGTTTTTATATTTTATTTCTGGCACTGCTTTATGGTTTGTCTGGTTGCTTACGGGATCTTCTGTTATGCCTATAGATGAGCTGATTCTATAGATAATGTAAAAATCTTTCTGATAGTGCTTAAGTAGTAAAATTAAAAACAAATGAATTATTATTTCTCATTATTTGAGATATTATATAAATCAGCTTTCAACGTATGAAGGACTTTTCAAAAATGTGTATTTTTAGTGGATTCGCCTATTGGCAGTTGCATGTATTAGAAGGACAATATAACATAAGACTTTTACATTATCAGAAGAATGCATTTATCAATGTAGCGAATGGGCTTCGAGCACATAAATGTCTATCAAATGAATTATGATGACATTTTAACGAATTGTAATTTTAGTCGGGTATCCTGTTTTGCTAATTCATCTAAAAGAAATGGTAATCAGACGATGAAAGGTCCTGCCTAAATGGTGGATGCC